GCAATATCTCCTACCTGCGCCCAGACTAGAAATCATGTAATCACTTTAGCCATAATTGTTCTAGTCAGGTGTGCTTCCTGGTATGCCAAGACTGAGATTTCCTACAGGTTATTAAAAATATTATAATGCAGTGCTAATGAATTAGAGTCTAGGCCAAGTAAGCAGCAACTTCTCATGCCCAATAAATTGAAGAGGTAGGATCTTGCAACAGACTCAAAACCCAAAAGTCAGCTACACCTAAAGGATACCTCTGAGAAGTAGTCCTTTCCTAAGGGTTCTAAATACTACCAATAAAGATATTCACCATAACCAATCTACAAGAATCAACCCAGGAATTAAACGGACAACAACAACAACAGCAAATTAGAAATGTGAAGACACTTAAACAAAATACAAGCCTAAACTTCCAGCTCACCAAAGGCAACCCCAGAGGGCAATGAGGTAGAACAATGCAAAACTTATCCACCTGGACTCCCTGAAGTGGTAACGTTGGAATTCACAAAGCAGATGAAAGAGGCTCTGGAAAACAATCAAATCAGAAATAATTTCTCAAACAACAGAGTCAGTGACCATAATGAAAGAAATGATTAGTGACTCTAGAGTAGATACAGATTTTTTTAAAAATAGAGACCTTAAGAAAATGCTGAAAACCATGAAGGCTCAACACAGGAAAGAAATTGAATTCAGAAAACAGATTCAAACACATATCCAGGAGATCAAAATTTTAAAATTCCATTAAAAGTATCTGTAGTAGAATAAGCAAAAGTGAGAACAGAATATCAGATATAGAAGACAGACTTGAGATTAGCAAACATGAAAGGGAAGATTTCTTAAAAATAGCAAGAGACTGTGAGAAATCAATCCAACAGCTGCTAGATCGTGCAAAGAACAACTTAAGAATGATTGGAGTCCATAAAAAAGTAGGAAATAATGCAAAGATATAGTAAACCCTTCACTGAAATAATCACAGAAAACTTCCCAAACAGGGGGAAATAATTTGACATACAGATATGTGAGGCCGGTAGAACTGCAATTAACCATGATAAAAAAAAAATCTAGGGGCCAGGGATTTAGTTCAGTGGATCTGCCACCTTCCTCGCAATCACACAATCCTGAGTTTGATCCCCAGTACAAAAAAAAAAAAATCAACACCTAGGTATATAATAATATGGATTCCAGAAATCCAACACAAGAACAAAATATTAAAAGCTGTTAAAGAAAAGCAACAAATCACTTGTAAAGGAAAGGCCATCAGAATCACACTAGACTTCTCAACACAAACCTTTAAGTCAAGGAGAACCTGACGTGAATTATTTCAAACCATAAAAGAAAAAAACCTCCAACCCTGATTGATGTATCCTGTAAAACCATCTTTCAAAATTGATTGAGAAATAAGAAACTAACACCTAACATCAGTAATAACAGTTGAAAGCTTTTCCTCTAAGGTAGAGAACAAGACAAGAATGTCCACTCTCACCACTTCTATTCAACCTAATACTGGCAATCCTAGCTGGATCATTTTGTCAAGAAAAATAAATGCAAGGTGACTAAATCAGAAAGGAAGTTCAATTGTCACTGTGTAGAAAAAAATATAATTTTGTATATAGAAAGTCCAAAACACTCCAACTGTTCAAACTAATAGGTGAAAAGCAAACCTAGTAAATGAGTTCAGTGAAGTTGTAGAATAGGTTAGTGTACACAAATAGCAATGTTTCTATAAAGTAACAATGAATAATATAACATTTTTCCAAAATTGATGGGGAAATGGGCTATACAGTTCCCCTATTATAATTATATTAATGCTCATCTGATTTTTCATATTCATTAGTGTTTATTTTATATAGTTAAGTACACCAGTATTTTGTGCATACATATTTAGGATTGTTACCTATTCCTTTTGGATTGTTCCCTTCACAAGTATGTAATGACCTTCTGATCACTTTTGGCTTAAAATCCACTTTGCTGGTAGAATAACTACCTCCACTTTTTTCTGAATAATATTCACATGGAATATTATTCTCTGTCCTTTGACTTTCATTCTATAAATTTTTTGTGTTAAATGTCTTTCTTGCATGCACCATACTGTTGGATGTTATTTCTTTATACACTTACACACACACATTGACTTATCCTTGTCATATAATTTTCCTGGGTTTTTTTTCCCTTTCTTTCCTCTCTGTTTAATTGCTTGCCTTGCCTGGTAAATTCATTATATTAGGATTGATGGAATTGTCTTCTTTGTCTTTTTGTAGACTGCCCTTCAGAAGTTTTTGGAGTGCTTATATCCTTGTCCTGAATTTCTTCAAGTGTACACACACACATTGACTTATCCTTGTCATATAATTTTCCTGGGTTTTTTTTCCCTTTCTTTCCTCTCTGTTTAATTGCTTGCCTTGCCTGGTAAATTCATTATATTAGGATTGATGGAATTGTCTTCTTTGTCTTTTTGTAGACTGCCCTTCAGAAGTTTTTGGAGTGCTTATATCCTTGTCCTGAATTTCTTCAAGTGTACTCTATCATGGAAGTATCTTATTTCTCAATCAATTATTAAAGATAGTTTTATGGGGTACAACAGTCTGGGCTGGAGGTTCTTTTCTTTTGGGGCCTGAAAGACTTTATTCCAAACTCTCTTTAATTTAAAGATTTGTGTTGAGAATTCTGCTGCTATTATGATGGGTTTTTCTTTTTAAGTGATTTGTTTCTTTTCTCTAACTATTTTTAATATTCTTCTCTTTGTTGAAATTCTGGAATCTGGACTCTTATGTGCTTTGATACAGATAATTTTCTCCGATCATGCCTATTTGGAGTTCTATATGCCTCCTTTCTCTGTATCTCAAGTTCTTTTTCCATGCTTTTGGGAAAAAAGAAAATGACTACTTTTCAGAGATGGCTTCTTCATGTAGCTGGCTTTTGGCTTTGTAGTCTGTCCCAAGATCCTGCCTATTCAATTTAGTAGGGATGAGAAGTTGCTACCTGTTTGGCCTAGAATCCAGTTCTTTAGTACTAGATTATAATGTTTATGATCCCCAGACAATCTAGATATCAGCATACAAGGAAGATCTATTGGTCACAACAACTATGCTACCTTGGCTAAAATAGTGCAATCAGTAAAAACAATAACCACAAGCACAAACTAGAAAATGAAAAGCTGTGTTAAGTAATGATTTGCCATCTTTAACCATAAGTACAAGATTTTTAGTTATATAACAAAATCTAAGACAAATCATGAAATTATATAGAGTAAATATCTACTAAATAGAGTGATTTTACCCTAAGGGGAGAAAATTTAAATGGGATAAGGAGGAAAATATGCAAATTAAAAAGAGAAAAAGATTAGAAGCAAGGCTGAAGGACAAGGAATATTACCCAAGCCTCAGGTAACTGGTGAAGAAGATAGAGGGAAAGAAGGAAAAAACAAAAACTAAAACAACGTTTACACTCATTAAAAAGAAAAAAAATTTAAAAAGAACAAACAAAAAACCCAAAATCAAATAAAAAAAAGAAATTTCTCTGTGATTTCTAGCCTGTACTTTTCCTCTGGTGCCTACAGTTCTGTGGTAGAATAGGATTCAGGGCACAATGCGCTATTGCTAGTAGACAAAGGAGGCAGTCAGAGCCTAGATATGTGCTGGATAATTCCAGCAGCCTGCAGTACGATTAGGGTGGGACACTGATTCTAGTACTTTCGAATCCAAGAAATTCTGGCTGATCCTGTCCTCTGATCATTGGATTGGGGTTGGAGCCATTCAGCCTACAACACTCTGGGTGTTTCTTGTTGGCCTGACCATAGCTTCCTGACCCTGGAGGTCTCCTGTGGTTGTCCTTCACCTGGTCGCTGTGAGATTTCAACACTGGGAGCCCTGAGATGAAGCCAATCCCTGGCTTCTCTGAGCCTCAGGTTCAGCTGGCCCCTCCCTAAAATGATGTCCAGCAGAGCAGCCTCTCCAGGGGATATGGCAGTCACTTGGACTGGAGTCAATCACTGGCTGTTTTAGTGCACAGCATATACTGCTCTGTTCCACTGGTGTTTTTCTCCCTGGAGACTTCTGGAGTCACCTGCCGTCACTGTGTCTATGTAGATTTGATACTCCTCTCTCACAACACGAGCCAGAGACAGGGAGAAAGTGCAGTTTGCCTACTTCTTTTTCTGTGTTGAGACCTGTCTCTTAACTTTCTCTGTGGGCTCCAATACTCCCTTCAGATCTCACCTGGGACCCAGGGATCCACTGCCCTCCTTCTGCTCCAAGTTATTATTTTCTAGTAACTGCATTTTTAATTTTGGAAAGGTTGATTTATTGCTACTTACTGCTTCACTGTCTTCCAAAATGTGTTAAAATGCTTTTCCCCTTCTTTAATTCTAAAAGCATTCTATCATTTTTATCTACAAGTGGAAATTTCTGGAATGGCTGTCAGTTGACTGGATATCAGATGCAACATAGTTTATGTTTTTCTGGGGGTCCAAGGACTTAGGTTAATTTATATCAAAATCTGGTAGGTTGGCATCAAATAGTAAAGAGTGGGCCTGGGATTTAGCTCAGTGGTGCCGCTGCCTGCCTGGCAAGTGCAAGGTCCCAAGTTTGATCCCTGGTACCAAAAAAAAAAAAAAAAAAAAAAAAAAGAGCAAAGTAGTTGACTAGGTAGAATTTGCAAGCAGTGCTATATATTATCAGCCATGTATTTTAGGACAAATTAATTTCAGCTTCATCTACATTTGAACATATATCTACTTCTTAGAGTTGCTGTGAGAATTATATTAAAAAATGTGTGTAGATTGCTAGCATATACCTTAGGCTTCATAAATAGTAGTGCTATTACTGTTATAATTTCTGTTATTAAACTCCCTGAGATGATGAGGAATATTTTCTTGCTTTTTCATTTAGTTTATTTATGGGAGATACATATCTGTGCAATCTACTTCCCTGTCCTGAACATATGAGGTTTTCTTCAAAATATGAATTTTCAATAAAATAAATGGGCAATTTTCTTGAAATACTTTTCAGGTTCATTTTTGCAGAAAGCAGAGAAATCTATATCCCTTGTACGAGGTGGGAAGAGCAGTTATGCAGCATCTTTGGCATGGGAGAAAGGAAACTCTGTTTCAGATGAGAAAGTTCTTTTTGAGTGGTTAGAATCAGTGAAGGAAAATCCTGCTGTGATTGACTTTGAGGTAAGATTAAAAAGCATCAAGGATAAGAGAACTGAAGTAGTTCTCTAGAAGCCAAAATTACACATTATACATTTTCTTTACAATTTTCTTCTCTGGTGACAAAAGAAATATTGCTTTTTAATATGCTTGCACAATACACCTATTTTTAAAATGTTAAATTGTATATCATTGACTGCCTTTACTATTCAAACAAGCATTCTGGGAGTATGTAGAATTCATAGCATGTATAAAATACCAGAAAAGGGAATTTAGTGAATAAAACTGCTCATATTTGCCTGGAGTAGTATTCTGCATCTCCCTGTGGATACAACAGATTTAGTTCCTGTGTTTTTCTTGCCAGCCTTCATTTGGTGAGCACTCCTAAAGCTTTGTTTATAGCATTATAAAATAAATGGAAGTTTAGATCCACTTGATTTTCTTTTTCTGTCACCATTGATTCAGTTTGCCGGTTTTGTATTTATTTTAATTATATAAAAAGATGATTTTGTTATTTGTGTAATAATTTGCCCACATATCAATCATATGCCATTTAGAATTAGTTTTGCATAGAACATAATTACATTTTAAAAGGCCTCCAAAAAGTTATTATGTTTATTTAATTTAAGTGAAGATAAAGAGAGCTCAATCATTACAAAATAGAATCGTTTACATCCAGTATGAAAATATATTGAGTTATCTACACAGGTTATGGTAGAATAATGAGATCCAACTGCCCATAACAGCCTTTTAAATCATATGCTATACTAGTCATTTCTATGCTACTTTATAATGTTAATAAAATCAGTACTGATTTTTTTTGTTTTTCTTATCTCTATTGTTTATTACATAATTCATCCTACTGGCAAGTTCATTGATCCATTTTGCCCCATTTTACTTTCTTTTAAACTAGCTCCACCAAAAACCAATGTTATCCATCGAAAAATAAAGAACAAGGAAAGCATTCCTTTATCCTCTGAGTTTTTTTGCTTGAATCAAACTTAATGACATTCCAACAGAGCATTAATGATTTGCCTGACTCTTGTCACCTATCTTCAAACTGTGTGGCATGCATTTGATGCCTAATAAATACTTGATGCTAGTCAATTTAAGCAGTCCCTCCCATTTGGCTTCTGTCACAGTAGGGCTGAAGAGAAGGTGAGTTCCAGTTAGAGTGCACTCCTTTTTGGTAGAGAGATTTTCCCTCCTGGCTCCTCTACATTGTGCAATACCTTGCAGTATGAGCTCTTCTGGTCCTCACCTCTCATTCCACAAAATTGAGGCAGTGCAGCACTGAGGGTCGCATATTGCCAAAGGGGATATGACTTGACCTCCTTTTTATTGTCTGCTCTTAGCTTGCTCCCATCACTAACTTGGTCAAAAACATCCCCTGTGCGGTGACAAAACGGAACAATCTCAGGAAAGCTTTTCAAGAATACACAGCCAAGTTTGACCCTTGCCAGTGTGCTCCGTGCCCAAACAATGGCCGTCCCACCCTCTCCGGCACCGAATGTCTGTGTGTGTGCCAGAGTGGGACCTACGGCGAGAACTGCGAGAGACGGTCTCCCGATTATAAATCTAGTAAGTACAGGTAACCTTTCTCAGATAAGCTTTCTTCCCCTCCAAAAGGCTTTCTAGGTGGTTCAATTGAAACAAAATTTATTAACAACCTCTACCCTGGACAAATTCATGAATAGGCCTTCCAAAGAACAGACTCTCAAGCTGAAAAATATTGATGTTATTCTGAGCTACAACGTACCAGTTATGGGATGCTGGGAAAGCTGTCTAACCTCATTATGCCACAGTCATTCACCCAGATAATTAAAGCAATACAGCTATATATTTGATATACTTGAGGATTACATTACATATGCATTTATTTATATGTTTTATAGTATGTAAAAATAACTAAGATAGCACAGTGCCTGTGACATTATCAGCTGAAATAAATTAAAGCATAGTATAAAATACATGATACTGTCATTATAAATCTCTTATGTACTATAATGTAAAAGGAGGGTGGTTTTGTAATAGATCAATTAAGCAACAATAGTTTTTGTATAGGACTAAGTAGCATTCATAGTTACTTCAAATTCTCCTTAAAAGAGGATGAGACATGACATGAGAATGTATTCTACTACCTTTAAAAATAAATTGATATCTATTCTAGTCAAAAGACATTCATACTTACACCTGTGCACACATGTGTGTATAGATGTACACACATACGTACATATTTCTAATAATGAAAATGATTCATAATTATTACCATTTTATGCAGGCCTTTGGGAACAGAAAAATAAATCAGGCAATGTTCAAACCCCTCTCACAAGTAGTATGATTTATTCCTCACTCTAACTTTATAATATTCTATAAAACAGGTCACAACTAAGAAGCGAGGAAACTAGGTTGGCCTGACTTCAAAGTCCAAATGTCTCACATGCTCCACAGTGGCAGAGATTCTTTCTTTCTTCCAGATTCCGTGGATGGGAACTGGGGCTGCTGGTCTTCCTGGAGCGTGTGCAATGCTGCTTATAAGAGATCAAGAACCCGACTGTGCAATAACCCTGCCCCCCAACAAGGAGGGAGGTACTGCGAGGGGGAGGAACAGCAAGAGGAAGACTGTACCTTTTCAATAATGGAAAATAGGTAAGGTCAGGGAAGAAAAAAGTCTGAGTCCGTTCCCCACTTACATAGACAGTCGAAACACATTATTATCAGTTTGCCAAGCAAAAACATAATTAAAATTTTACCTATACCAACATAGTAGTTTAGTGAGGTAGTGAGTCTGCTTTTATCTTTATCAGTGAAATTAATGTTTTCTCCCTACCTAATGTATATATAACATATATACATGTATATGCATACAGATTGTGCATATGATTATGTACTAGTATATACACACATTTATTTCTCCCTTTTAGTAATCAGCCATGTGTCAGTGATGATGAAGAGATGAGAGAGGTAGACCTTCCTGAGACAGAAGCAGATTCAGGGTGTTCTCCACCTGTTCTGCCAGAAGATGGATTCATCTGGGTAAGCATCCTGACCTTCACTTTTGGTTTCGAGTTCAAAACATGAACTTGAAAAATATTGATTTGTTTTCTAATTAGAGTTATTGTTTTCCTATATTAATTACCTCTTATTAACTTAAGAAGTACAAGGTAATATTTAGGAATACTTTGCCTTGCTTTAATCTTGACTTTTCTGGAAAAGTCATTATACCTGGTTGTTAGGTCACCGGGCAGAAGCAGGTGATTAATGGTATGGGGAACACTTAATTCATATAACAGTGACATATTCGTGTGAATAGAGATTGGAATTTCAGCATAATATGTCTGGATGGCTTGTAAGTATCTGAAACTATGATCTAGGTTTAACAATGATCTTAATTTCTGAGTCTGTGCAAATCAATGTCCTTATCTAAGGCATGCATTCAAAGAAATAAACTACATTTGGCTAAAAGCACAGGAGATGTTGAGTCTGTATTATCTTATTAGATTACAAATTTATAGAACTCTTAAGTAGGCAATACAACTGCAATGTACTTTTTAATTTAATATTTTTTCATTAAAACATAATATATTTCTATACTTTTTATAAAAATGCAGTACTTATTGTCAAACATGCCTGTGGCTTTAGATGTAAATCTTTCAGGAGGTACAAAATACTTACAATCGATCACAGAAGACATGTTCTCTATTAATTTTACATTTCCTAAATCTAGCAAAACCTTTAAATTAATATTTTTCCAACTGTATCATAGTCATGATCAAAGATCAAAAGCACTCAGTTCTCCAATGCCAGCTCATAAATATCCATGAACCACAGTCTGGGTTAAGGTATCTTTCCTATTCATCTGTCTTCTGCCTGTGTGATGCTATAAAAATTACAAGTTATGTGCCATGCTTAAAAGTTTTAAGAGGAGGAAGTGTCCTGGAGGGGAGTAATCATTTCAATTCGTCTACTCTAAAACAGAAGTTCTCAAACTCATCAAACCACTAGTGATTTTGTTAAAGCACAGATCACTGAGTTTTAGTCTCTAATTCAGTAGGTCTTGGGTAAGGCTCAGAAATGTCCATTTTTAACAAGTTCCCACATACTACTGATGCTGCTAGATCAGGAGTCACACATTGGAAAGTAATCCTTTAGAACCGGCTTCTGCAGACTATAACCTAAATGTCAAATGGGGTCTTCTGCAATTTAAAAAAAGTGTTGCTGCAGTGCAGCATATTTTCTGTGACTACTGTCACTCAGTAATGCAGAGGTAAATTATAGCAACAGACACCTTATGGCCTGTAACTGTCCAGGCCCTTTATAACAAAAGTTTGCTAGTCCTTGCTTTATGATATTATCCTCAAAATTACATTTTGTCAGATATAAAACTAAGTACCTTCTCATCTATTTATGCCAACTACTTGCAAGAACTATTCAAAGTATTAATATTCTAATTTTAAAAACACACAAAGTGTTAAACAGTGATTCCTTAATCTTATGACTTATTTATAAAATTCGATTATATGTATCTCATCTAATTTTTTGCTGCTAAAACAAAATACTGTTCTTTAAGACACTGGGTAATTTACAAAGAACAGAGATGTGTTTAGCTCACAGTTCCGAAGTCTGAGAACCCCGAGAGCATAAAACTGGTCCATGACGAGGGCCTTGATGCTGTCTCATAACATGGTAGAAGGGCAAGTGAGTGCACAGAAGTCGAAAAGAGAGAAGGGTGGGAAGAACTGACTCTGTATGAAGATCATGGCCATCAACCATTCACGAAGCCTGTGTGTATCAGAAGAGAGAAATACATTATTAGTCCACCATACGGCGTTTTGAAAAGTTGCAGTTATCAAGGCCTGTGTAAATATTTGTGAGACATATGCAGTAAAAGATGCATTGCTACGGATCTCCCTCAAAATATTCCCTCTCTCTTTGAACGGGCAAGTCCCATCACGCTTGCGTTTTCGGAAGTAGTTCTGGAAGTCCTCTTCTATGAGTATCTTTTCTCATGCTGTTGTGGCTGTCTCAATGTCCTTAATCCATTCAAAATATTTACTTTTCATCATCATTGACTTTAAGAAAGAGCCAGCAGGCGTACGGCACTAGATCCAGTGAATATGGTGGAGAACACATAATATCTCTATGAGCTACCTTGGCTTTGGGTGGCACTTGGCAGCATTAACCTTGCATTTGATCACACCTCCTAAAGACTTTCACAAAAGGGGACTTCAGAACTGCTCAAGAAAATGACAGGAATAATGGAGCAAGTGTGCTCAAAGCAAGAGGAGACATTATGAGGGATACATGGAAATGTGACTTTTGCTGTGATAATTTTTTAAATTTAATTTATTGGTACATTCTGGGTATACAGTACAGTTACATTCATTACTGGGATCTTGTACCTTTAAATGCCAGGTCTTGATTCTCATTTTTTCCCCTTGTCCATACCCTCCTTTCACCCTCCCCTCCCCCTTCAAACACTTTAATTCCATGTTTACATTTTCTCATATTTTTTTTCCTTTTCCCTTATTCCCCCTTCCCTGTCCTTCTCACTGTCCCTACACCTTTGGTCCTTTTTTTCCTATTTGCTAATTGTCCCATTAGGATCTTGAGTACTCTTTTAGTTTTTCACACCAGAGATACTATTCAGTATTTGCATATGTGTGCCTTATTTATTTTACTTAGAAGTATATCCTCAAAATGTACCCATTTAACTATGAATGAATCTACTTTCTCATTCTTTATGGCTGAGTAGTATTCCATTTCATAGAAAAACCACATCTCCTTTATCCAGTTTCCAATTTATGGACAGATGGGCTGTTTCCAAGTTTTAGCTATTACAAACTGTACCACTATAAACATGTGTGTGCATATATCACTGTGGTATGATTCTTTCACTTCTTTTGGAAAGATACCCAACAGAGGGATGGCTCAGTCAATGGAACCGCTAATCCTAGTTCTTTGAGGTATCTCCATATTGATTTCCATAGTGGTTTCACCAGAATGCACTCCCACCAACAATGGAGATGGGTTCCTTTCTCCCCACAACCCTGCCAAAATGTGTTATTCTTTGATTTCTTCATAGCAGCCACTCTTTGTGGGGTGAGGTGAAATCTCAGTGTTGTTTTCATCTGCATCTCTTGAATGACCAGTGATGTGGAACACTTTTTCATATATTTAAATGCTGCTTTTACTTCTTTGTCTGAGAAATGTCTGTTCATTTCAGATGCCCACTTTAGAATTGGGTCTTTATATTTGGGGCAGCTGGTTGTTTAGAGTTCTTTATATATTTTAGATAATAGTCCTTTGTCTGAGAAGCAGCTGGAAAAAAGTTTTTCCCACATTGTAGGTTGTCTCTTAGTTCTGTTGATGGTTTCTTTTGCAGTGCAGAAGCTTTTTAATAAGATGAAATCCCAGTTGTTGATTCTTTCTGCTAGTTCCAGTGCTACTGAGAATTTGTTCATAAAGTCTTTTCCTATGCCAATGTCTTCAAGAGTTCTGCCTAACTGATCTTCCAGCAAGTTTTAGTGTTTTTGTTTTTATGTTTAGATCTTTAATCCACTTGGATTTTAATTTAGTGCATGGTGACAGATAAGGGTCTACTTTTAATCTTTTGCAGGTTGAGATCCAGTTTTTCCAACACCATTTATTAAAGAGGCTATCTTTCCTCCAGTGGGGACTGGCAGCTCCTTTGACAAAGATGAGGTAGCTGAGTGCATCTGGAGTTGTTTTGTGTCTTCCAATCTGTTCCATGATCCTCAGGTCTGCTTCTTTGCCAGTACCATGCTGTTTTTATCACAGTGGCTCTGTAGTATAGTTTCAAATTGGGAATTGTTATACTCACTGCTATGTGTCTTTTGCCTAGTATGGCTTTTGCTATTCTAGGTCTCTTATGGTTTCAAATGAATTTTTGGATTCTTCTTTCTAGTTCTGTGAAGTATCGTATTGGGATGGTAATTGGTATTGCATTGAATCTGTATAGCAGTTTTGGTAGTATGGCCATTTTCACTATGTTGATTTTTCCTACCCAAGAGCAGGGGACATTTTTCCATTTTCTTAAATCCTCCTTGATCTCTTTTTTTCATAGTGCTATAGTTTTCAGTGTAGAGGTCTTTTGCTTCTTTTGTTAGGTTGATTACCAGATACTTCATTTTTTTGGGTGCTGTTGCGAAAGGAATTGTTTCCCTAATTTCTTTCTCAGTGATTCTGTTATTTGTGTACAAGAAGGCTATTGATTTTTGGGTGTTGACCTTGTATCCAGCTACTCTGACAAAAATGTCAATTAAGTCTAGAAGTCTTTTGGTGGAGTTTTGGGTCTTTTTTTTGGGTCTTCAATGTAGAGTTTCATATCATCAGCAAATAATGACAGTTTAACTTCTTCCTTTCCTATTTTTATTGCTTTAATTTCTTTCTCTTGTCTGATTGCTATAACTAATGTTTCCAGAACTATATCAAAGAGGAGTGGTGATAGTGGGCATCCTTGTCTTGTTCCTGATTTTAATGTGAAAGTTTTCAGGTTTTGGCCATTTAATATGATTTTGGCTGTTGGTTTTTCATAGATAGCCTTTATTAATTTGAGACATAGACCATCTATTCCAATTTTTTGCAGAGTTTTTATCATGAATGGGTGTTGAATTTTGTCAAATGGTTTTTCTGCATCTATAGAGAGGATCATGTGGTTGTCCTTGACTTTGTTAATATAGTGTATTACATTAATTGATTTACGTATGTTGAACCATCCTTGCATCCCTGGAATAAATCCCACTTGGTCAGGATAAATGATCTTGTTGATGATCCTCTATATTCTGTTTGCTAGTGTCTTATTGAGGATTTTTGAATCTATAATCATTAAGGAGATTGGCCTGTAGTTCTCTTTTTTGTTACATCTTTCCCAGGTTTGGGAATCAAAGTAATATCTGCTTCCAGGAATGAATATGGAAGTATTGCTTCCCTTTCAATTTCATTGAAAAGTCTTAAGAGTAATGGCAGTAGATCTTCTCTAAATGTCTTGTAAAATTCAGCAGTGAATCCATCAGGACCTGGGCTTTTCTTTGTTGGTAAGTTTTTAATTACATTTTCAATTTCACTGATTGTGATTGGGGTGTTTAAAATGTTTTTATCTTCTTCGTTCAACTTCGATAATTCATAAGTATCTAGAAATCTGTCCATTTCTTCTGTGTTTTCCATTTTATTAGAGTACACATTCTCATAGTATGTATTAATGATCCTCTGGATTTCTGTGGGATCTGTTGTGACTTCTTTTTCATTCCTGATTGCATGGATCTGAGCCTTTTTCTTTCCTTTTTTTTGATAAGGTTTGCTAAGGGTTTATCAATTTTATTTATTCTTTCAAAAAACCAACTCTTCGATTCATTTATTTTTTGTATCATTTTCTTAGTTTCCATTGCATTGATTTCTGCTCTAATCTTTATAATTTCCTCTCTGGTTCAAGCTTTGGATTTTTCTTGCTCTTGTTTTTCTAGGAGTCTAAGAGCCATCATTAGGTTGTTTATTTGAGCTTGCTCTGTTTTCCTAATGTGGACATTCAGTGCTATGAATTTTCCACGTAGAACTGCTTTCATTGTGTCCCATAGATTCCTGTATTGGCATTTTTGTTTATTTGTAAAAACTGTCCAATTTCTTCTTTGATTTCCTCTGTGATCCATTGATTGTTCAGGAGAGTGTTGTTGAATTTCCATGTGTTTGTGAAGTTCCTAAGGTTTCTTGTGCTATTGATCTCCAGCTTTATTGCACTGTGATCTGATAATATACAGGGAATAACTTCAGTTCTTTTTCATTTATTTAGATCTGTTTTGTGAGCTAGTGTGTGAGAGAATGACCCATGTGCAGCTGAAAATAATGTATATTCTGATTTTGTGGGGTGGAACACTCTGTAGAAGTCTAATAAGTCCATGTGTTTAAAAGCTTGGTTCAGTTCTAGTATTTTATTGTTGATTTTTGCCTAGATGATCTGTCTTTTTGATGGTGGGGTATTCAGATCCCCCAGTACAATTGTATTAGTGGTTATTTGGTTTTTCATGTTACTTAATAATTGTTTTATATAGTTGGGGGCATTTATGTTTGCAGCATATATGTTTATGATTGTCATTTCTTCCTCTTGGATTGTTCCCTTTACAAGGATGTCATGGCCTTCTTTGTCTCTCTTAATCAGTTTTGGTTTGAAATTTGCTTTGTCTGCAAATAAGATTGCTACCCCTGCTTTTTTCTGTGCTCCTGTCGTGTGGAGAATTGTATTCCATCCTTTCACTTTCAGTCTATGGGCTTCTTTTTGCACTAGGTGTGTTTCTTGTATACAACATACTGTTGGATTTTGCTTCTTAATCCATTCTGCCAATCTGTTTCTCTTGATTGGTGAATTGAGGCCATTGACATTGATAGTTATAATTGATATGTACTGACTTATTATTGTTATGTTATTGTCCTTTTGTTGACTCTTTTTATTTTTTTGTCCTCTCTTTTTAGTTTCTAGCCTTGGCTATTTGATTTGCTCTGTTGGGCCTCCTAGTGTTGTGATCTTCATTGTCTTTTTCTAGGATATTGTTTAAAATTCTTAGTAGTGCTCGTTTAGTATTCATGAAGTTTCTCAAGTATTCTTTGTCGTGGAAGTATCTTATTTCTCCATCCATTTTGAAAGAGAGTTTTGCAGGATGCATCAGTCTTGGTTGTAGGTTGTTTTCTTTTAGGACTTGAAATACCTCACTGCAGGCACTCCTTGACCTGAGGGTTTGTGCTGAAAAATCTGCTGTGATTCTGATGGGCTTTCCTTTGCATGTGATTTGTTTCTTTTCTCTTACTGCTTGTAGTATTTTGTTCTTCTGTTGGGTTCCTGGGATCTTGATTATTATATGTCTAGGTGTAGATTTTTTTTTATTGTGGCTAGTTGGTGTACTATATGCCTAGCTTATCTGTTTGTCTAATTCTTCACCTCTGTTTGGGAAGTTTTCTGTCATTAATTCTGCAAACAGCTTTTTTAAGTCATTTGTATTTTCTCCTACTACTTCATGGATTCCTATCAGTCTTATGTTATTCTTCTTTGCATCATCTAGGAGTTGTTGAATCGATTTCTCATGCTCCCTGACTGTTTTTAAGAGATCTCTCTTTTCATGGTCACTTTCTGCTATCTTATCTTCTATATCTGAGATTCTATCTTTGCAATCTTTTATTCTGTTATGTATGCTTTCAATAGAGTTTTTAATCTCCTGGATACCTGTTTGAATCTGTTTAATGGATTCCATTTCTTTCCCATGTTGGGTGTTCATTGTTTCCATTTCTTTGTTATTCTGGGCCTTTATGGTTTCTATTGTGTTCTCAAGCTCGTCTATTTTTTTGTCAGTTTCTGTTCTGGATTCTCAAATCACGACTTTCATTTTTCTCACCATCTCTATGGTTATATGGGAAATAATTTCTGTTTTGAATTTTTCTAGAGCATTATTGATCAGTTTTTTTACTTCACGTGCTGTGAATTCTGAGTGTCCTGGAGGTTCACTATCTGATTTTTCATCCTCCTTTGTCCTACTGTTTGCCACTGGTGGACTGGAAGTCTGTTTTTGTGGCTTGCTTAAGTGTTTTCTCATCTTTATTTTTGCTGTTGGGGTGACCTTGATTCAATCTCTGGGTCATTAAATCTTCCTGATATCACTGCATCCCAGCCTTTGATTCTCTAATGACTTATAGACATTCTCATTTTCGTAATTGAGAAAACAACTCATCAAATCAATCCCTATCCTTCATCCCTATCGATACAATCAGAAACATAATAAGATCAATCATCACCCTTTATAGCCTTCCACGCCTCTGCAGAGTGCCTCCTAGGATTGGCTCGGTCAGGGGATCTAATGGGGGGGGACTCAGTGGCCCCTGTGCGGCTACCCTCCTGCCACTGTGTCTGAGCTAACCAGTGGTGCCTGCTGGAAATGGCATGGCTCCAGAGGAGGCCATGTAGGAGAGAGGGCTCTGAGTCCAAGCCGGGGCAATGACATAAAACTCATCCACCTGGCGCTGCATTGAAGCCAATCAGCACCTGCTGGAAATGGCACAGCTCCAGAGGAGGCTGCACAGGAGAGCTATTGTAATAATTTTTAATGTAAACATTCACCATATACATTGATCACTACTCACAGATTTGATTGTGGAGCTGCCACTCAGGGGTCATGAGCCAGGCTGATTAAAGTGATAACTATAAAAATAGAAGTTCGCACAAGTTTCTCCAGAACTGAAAGAATGGAGTAGCCAGTAAGCCAAAAAAAGTCAAGGAGATTTTCACAGATGTTCTGTTTGAGCTACATCTTGAGAGAAAGACAAGGTGTTGAGGATAGAGTGAAGACAGAGACACTGAAAGAGAATATAATGTTCAAAGAATGATAGATGGCTTTGTTCCACTAAAATGTAGGGATTATGAGAGGAAATGGCAGTAAGGGAGGATGGTAAAGTAGATTAAAGCTAATAGTCCAAACTATGAAATGTATAGCCCCTTTTTATCTTGAAAACTTTATTAAACTGCCTACATGACAGTAGTACTTTACTCATTAACTGGGAAAATATATGGTGATCAATGGGTTATGAGGAAATGAGTATTATTTTTAAGTGATTTGTAGTCAGTCACAATAACAACTGTGTCTGTTTAATGTATGTGTGGGACACATTATTATATTAATAGACACAATAAGCTGAGTATACAGCTTCTTTTTTTTTTTTTTTTTGTACTGAGGATTGAACTAGGACTTTGGTTTACAAGGCAGACAGTGGAACCACTGAGCTAAATCCCCAGCCCTATAGCTTTTTAAATCTAGCAGAGTAGGCTATCTCATATACTGTGAGGACTCAGTTTTAAATTTAAAAATTATAATCGATTTAGAGCAGCCATATGGAAAAATGGATTCAAATAACAATCAGTTAGAAAGTTGCCCTGGTAAAAGATAATAAATGCGAGGAACAGAGAAAGTGGAGAGAGCTTTGAGAAAGTGTAGAGTAGAATTTGAGAAGACTCTGAACTGAGGATTCTGACAGACCAAACAGAATCCAGGATGATACTTAAATGTCTAAAGATGATTATTTACATGATTAATAATTTTCTGGTTTTCTATTTCAATTCTAGAATGAAAAGAAATTATACTCAGTTGGGGAAGAAGTTGAAATTTCATGCCTAACTGGATTCAAACCTGTTGGGTACCAGTACTTCAAATGCTTACCAGACAGGACCTGGAGGAGAGGAGACATGGAGTGCCAGCGTGAGGACTGCGCAGACATCATGTGTAACTGCGCTGCAGAATGAATGTACCCCATAAAAGTGGAGCAAAGTCACACCCACCCTCAGATCAGTACATTTTACTATTTTTTAGTAACTATGGTGAAAAGATTTACTGAAGCAGCAAATGGAGCTTGTTTGCTAAAATTAGATTCAAAACATCTCCATATTTCAGTTCTCCTGCTCCTGCCCATTAGCCTCGGACATGCAGCACTGAAGCACACTGTTAGGAAGAAACCCTTGAAGCATGCAAACTCTTATCTAACCACAGACATCTGCATTCTCTGGTGTACCAATTGATGAAACCCAAGAAGATGACACTAGACTATATGTCAGAAATAGAATTTTCTGTGAAACTTAATTCTCTCCAGAGCACTACTCCTTGGAACACCTTTACATCCTCTGCTGAGAAAATGTGCATGTAGGCACTGTGTGCATCCATGCCACAGCACAGAAAAATGTGGGATGCAAACCAAGTTCAAATTGAGACTTCAAAACCTTATTATGGGGAAACTTGAAGCAGAATTGAGTTCAGTGTCAATTAGAACATCCTGTCTTGGTATCACACCCACTGTGGTAATTTGCTTTAGGAAGAGCCCAAAAGGTAGAGGAAGAAAATAAATTATTCCATGGAAGAAAAAGGTCCCAATGACATTAGAGAAGTTAAATCTGTCTGGAGCCAGTTCCATAGGAAAGGAACCTCAGATAAGAGAACTGAAGGGTGGCGTCAATGGAGGGATCTCCAAGGGGAAGTAAAGTATCCTTAGCTCAGAAGCTTCTGAATTAAAAGGAGGATCAAAGCTGAACAAATACAGTGAATCTCGTTCAGATCATCTCTTGGGTAATATTCAACCTGTTTGGGCTTGTGGAGTGTTCTGTTTCACTAAACACATCTCAAATGTTGTTCCCCATGCAGAAATGGCGTGCTTCAAACCAGTTGTGCCAGAAATGCTGACACTCTCCCCATTTCAGAGAGTGTACAGAATTGGTGAATCCATTGAAGTGATTTGCCCCAAAGGCTTTGTGGTTGCTGGGCCATCCAGGTACACATGCAAGGGAAATTCCTGGACACCACCCATTTCAGACTCACTTAACTGTGAAAAAGGTGAGTGACAAAACAAGATTTGGGATTCTAATAAAGTTGGGTCCCATAAAATTGGTAGTGCACCATCTAAAGAGATACTGTTTATTAACTGCAATCAGGAGGGCAAAAGCAGAAGAATCCAATGGAAGCTCAGGCTATATTCTACTCTGTGCAGGTAATAAGGGCAGGCAGCGAATAATGGCTTCAAATTTTAGAGGGTGACTTCTGTTTTCTTTTCCAGCATAAAACTCTAATATTTAGGTGTACAAGATTTCTCCTCTAATAAGATCAAAAATTTTTGCTTCAAGTGGAAAGCCATAAAATGTAGTAAACATATAATGAGGCACTTTATTATTACCTAAGTAGAAAATTTCAAATGTTCTCTTAATAGAATAAGCTCAATTTGTCATCTGTTTTTTCTTTATTGTAACTTCTCTAAAATAGGGGTTTCTAGTGGCTTAGATGGTGAATTAAATACCTATCTAAGCCCTGTCCTTCAAACTCTGGTGTCAGTGAGTTGAAAAGAGCTCAGTGTTTGGTAGTTGTTTAAAAACTGTCCTAGGCCTGGGGCTTTAGCTCAGATGCAATGTGCCTGCCTCTCAAGCACAAGACCCTGAGTACTATCCCCAATACTGGTGGAAAAACAAACAAACAAACAAACAAAACCTCTCCTAGCTGGAACAGATTTTTTTAATATTTTCATTACAAATAAATGATAAGTTTTTGAAGAGATAGATTTATTTATTCTTATTTGAACATTATACAATTGTATAAAGATTACCAGGTACCCCAAAATACATACAATTTTTATGTATTGATTTAAAGTTTTTAACTAAAATAAGTAAAATAAGCAAAACTCTCCTATATAATTCAATTATGCCCTTAGAGTTCAGAACCACTGTATTTTTCTGTTTGTGTTTTTGTTTTTCTAGTTAGTTTGTTATGGTCCAAAGACTAAAGCCAGTGATACTTTCTGAGGTCCACCTTACTTTTTATCTTGAGACAGCGTCTCACTACTTTGTCCAGATGACTTCAAATTTACAATTTTATTGCTTCCATAGTAATACTGTTTTAGAAAAGAAAACTTATAAATTTATTTAACAGAATATAGAACAAGGTAGAGTTTTCATATATTTTCTACCTAAGTCTTTTCATCAACTAATTCAGTGGTTTCATCAACTAATTCAAAACCAATTTTTAACTGATCAAAGTTTCATCTTAGTTTTTTTTCTTTTTGGTTTTTTTGTTTGTTTGTTTGTTTGTTTGTTTTTTTTTGTTTTTTGAGACAGGGTTTTGCGTGTGGTTGAGACTGACCTGGAACTCACTATGTAGCCCTGGATGGTCTCGAACTCACAGTGATCCTCCTGCCTCAGCCTCCCAAGTGCTGGGATTACAGGCGTGTGCCACCACACCCAGCCTAGTTTTTATTTTTAAAACTCTGTTTTTTTCTTTTATTTTGTCAGCTTACATACTGAATCATCTTATGTCATAACACGTGTAACTGGCATAAACATTTTGAAAACAAGGATACCTCATCCTTCCCAAACATACAGTCTTCTGGTGAGATCACACAGTGTGGAGTTTTAAAAGAGAATATCCCTCTGCTGTGAAAGATCAGTGGGAGACAGCCAGCCAGCAGGACAGTCAATTGTGGTAGAGAGAGTATCTATTAATCAGTATCTTGCAAAAGCTCCAATATACTTATTAAATAATGTCTCATTTATCTGAGGTTGATACGATTAAGCTCATTTTGCTTATAGATAAAGCAGAGGCACAGAGAGGCTAACTTGACACAGGGTTGGAAAGTCAGGATCACACAGGAGCTGAGCAACAGCTCTGCTAACTCCCTAAGCTCTTTGCTATCAGGATTCTTTCTTCTCTCCTGGGATTTCATACTGTGTGAAGGATGGGAAAATGTTAGTCTTAAGAATAACTTTAAGTCAAACTATTGAGAAAGAGTTCTCATGGGAAGTGGTAAGAAGTTCAGTTTACTAATGATGCTGTGGATTCATAAGGTTCCTGATTGTAATATTAAATAATACATAATATGAATTTCAGGGCTATATGTGTGTTTGGAAATTGTAGGTGTCAGAAGGTCAGGATCATCTAGACACCATAGGTAGTATCTTCTTACTGAGTGTTTATGAATGGACACACACACACAAACACACACACGCACACACACCACTCACACAAAAGGCTCTGTCCTTGCATAAGAAATGGAAATTATAATCCAATATAAAACATCCTTCACCTCAACTAAATATCCTGTCTCATATACTTTTTCTCTAGCAATACTAACAGAAAGACCAGTAAGAGGAGAAAAGACAATGACAATCAGCCACAAAAATTAGCCATGGTGAGGTAAAGAGACTAGTTGGCCAAGGAAACACTTTTACTGCTTTCAACATGAAAATTTTCTCCCCATGATGTAATGAGATCTTGGTGTCACTTTCTTCCAATTTAATCCTTTCTTGAGAATGATTGAGAACCTAACAGCACCTCTGAAAACCCTCTTTCTCTCAACACTTCAAATCTTAAAGAATGTTGCTATTTCCAGGTTTCCTTGGGCTGGGCATTGTAGGCCATTCAGTTCCAACACCAGCTTCAGCCTAAGGTTTGGGGGAGACCAAAGAACCATCGCATGTGATCACTATTTCAAGCACACAGCTACAGAACAATGCTCTGTGCCACTTGAAATCTCATTCTCTATAGAGAATAGCTTGGTGCATAGCTTGAGGATTTTCCCTGACTTGGGTTTGGATTTATTTACAGAGGGAAAAGAAGCTTAACTGTCTAAGATACCAAGGAAAACTAATCTCATATCATTGTAAATCTTAGCAGACTTCCCAGAGCTGCAAGGCTCCACATTTGTGAAGGTTCTAGACTGAACTTCACCAGATGGAATGAGGGGCCTAACAGAAGCTAAGAGTAGGTAATGGAAATACCAGCAAAGAAGAGAATGACGCATTTTCAGAATCTTTATTGTTTACTCTAACATAGCCTTCTTCCTTCTCAATTAAACCTTCTTTTATATCTTTAGACAAAGAAGAGAAACTATGATCTGAGTCACCCTTTCTGCCATGTGATTTGTGCAAATATCTATATATGGCTACTTATTTCCTACCTTGACAATTAGCTTGCTTACAAAGGCCATCCTGAGCCTGGGTAGTCAGACCCAGATTGATGCTGTGTGTTTCATCCAACATGCTGAGGAAGTTAACTCCAGGTCTTACACCCCTAGTCTAAAGGCCCTTTGGGCTGGTCTCAATATAAGCAAAGATAACTAAAGCTTCTCCTTACAAGTAATATGCACCAAGTATATTTTTAATCCCTTTCCCTAACATGCACACTATTCAATTTCTCATCTGAATTCAAGCATCATTTCCTTATTGATCTTCCCTTACTTTTCCCAGGAGGGATTTTCTTGCTGTATGATCTTCTGAAACCATGTTCCCAGTCTTCAAAAGACTTCTATCAGCCTTTCATTAGAATCCATTATTACATTATTTGATTGATGCCTGTTTTCCTAATATGTTTTTAGATTCATGAAAAAGAGACCACTGCTATTTTCTTCTCTCTTCGTCAATATGCTACCCCCATCCTCTTTTTTCTTGGTCTCTCCTTTCTTACATTCCTTCCTTCCTTCCTTCCTTACCATAATATTCTAAGTATTAGAATATTCTAATGTTTAGCACATTGTACAGAGATAAATAACTACATTTAAGTGTTGCATTTTTCCATTGATTCTTCTATAAGAAAATCCAACTTTCAAGTGATTACCCTAGGAAACCACTGCTACCTCTCTGCCTGTTGCTCTCTGTTTGGAGTGAGCTGCCGCCCACACTAGGACATTAAACACTAGAGCTTCTTGGAGTTCAGATCGGGCCCCTCACTTCATGCTTCACTCCTGCTAGGGAGCCCTTTTCACATTTATAGCCTCACTGACTCCCTCAAAGACTAATAAATTTAAATTTTTACCATAGACTTCTCAACTGAAATTTAAATAAATATATATATATATATATATAAATTCTTCTACATATATTTTGGTTTGGCGTCTTAAAGATATCATAAATTTAATGTGCAAGGAGAATATGTACAGAGAGAGAATTCCCTTCCTTAAAACTAAGCGTCTTCTAGTATTTTCTCCTACGCCAACCAGAAACTTAGTAATCATACCTGATGGCTCTCATAATTCACCAAAATATCTAATACGGTTTTAACCTGTTATATATTTCTCAGGTATATTCACTTTTGCACTTTGATCCAAATCTCTGTCCCTTTCACCTGAATTACTATCATAACTTCATAGATCAGTTGCCAAATCTATCTTGATTCCCATTCCTCTTTGGGAAATCTATGCAAATCTACGTCCTGCTCAGAAGCCAAAATTAATTTTTCAAAATCTACACCTGATTTTATCACATCACACTTGCCTAAAAAAATGGTACATCTGCCTTGCTTGGGAAATGAAGGGGAAAAAGCCCTATGAAAGCATGGACAGCCTACCACATACCCACTTCTCAGACCATATCTTGCTACACTACATGCTTTCATCATTCTGCATGTCAACAAGGTTAGCTTTCTCCCTGTTTCAGGAAAGTCATGTGCTGCCTCCCTTTTGAACATACCTGATGTTCCCTCTGCCTCAAACAATCTCTCTCCATTTTCCCCCTTTTACCATGCCTAAGCTTTTATGATACATCATTTTTCTTGATTGCATGCTTTCTCTTTAATAGAATTAAAAATGGCAGGAATTCTAAATGCATTTGTGTGTTTGTTTGATCAGTCTGTCTGCCTACACAAAGACTATAAACTCTCTCAAAACAGAATCAGGATTTTGTTCAATCCGCTGTTCCCCAAACCTAGCAGAGTGCTAGGAAAACTATGTATTCAATAAATTTTTGGAAAATATGAACAATATTTACAACCATTTCACCAATTTTATTTTCTTTAGTTCTGAACTTAACAACTTTAGTCTGAAAATGGCAGTGTATATGATCTGGAAAGGACATTTCAAGTGGAAAATTTCTTGAAAACATATTTGGAGAAGCCAAAATGAATGTTCTAACTCCAGGATATAAATGAAAATTGTTGGCTACTATCTCTTCTCCTAAATTCTAGCTTATCTCTAGAAAGCCATGCTGTGCACTACGCCTGCCTTTTATTTCATTTCAGATACACTGACAAAATTAAAGGGCTCTTGCCAGCCAGGACAAAAACAATCAGGATCAGAATGCATTTGTCTGTCTCCAGAAGAAGACTGTAGGTAAGAGATACTCCATGGACTGCTTTTGCAAATTGGGGGAAATAGTCTAGTATAAGCAGCCTGATGGAAAAGATGAGCTTCTTAAAGAAAAACATGAGGCATATTAATTGTCAAGTAACTGATACCCCTGTGTGCACCTACTGAGCAGCAATCTTTTAAAAACTGTCTCTCAGCCTGAATCCCATATTTGAATGGCCTTTTTTTGTTTAGACAGTTTTACTTTGGTTTTAAAAATTTTCTTTGTATTTGGTTTTTCATGTGGGGACAGAAAGCTTAGAAAAGAAAAATTCCACATCTTTGTGTCACTTTCATGTGTTAGCTCACTTCTCTTTGTTGGTATAACTTCTTTTCTGAACAAACTCAAGATTGTTAACAATGTCTATTAATTGAATGGTTACTTTCAGCTGAATCTAAAACAAATCCAAAGCAGTGTTCACTTAAGACAAAATTTTGTTTCTCTCATACAAAATAAATATTGAGATGAGTGGCTGAGGGTGAGCCTGGTGATTCTCTTTTTGTAGATAAGACTGAAACTACTTCCAGCTCTGTCTTACCATCCTCAAAGTTATTTCATCATCTAAGATTGCTTTGCTAGAACTGGAAGGCAGAAAGACCAAAGATGGAGCATATTCTTTCTTCTAAATTTTTCTGAAAACTCACTACTTATTTCCATATTCACATGGCCACACATACCTGTAAGGGAGACTGGGAATGCAATGCTTTGGATGCATAACTATTCTAAAGAAAATTACAGTTTACTTACTGAGGAGGTTAAAGAATGGGTGCCGGAGGTTGAAAGCACAGTTGTTAATATTTCACTTCTAACAATGATTGGCTCTCAGATTTCTCTGTATTGCAGGTGAACAAATGTTTGTAGGGATTCAGATATTATTTTTTGGAGAGGACAATTAGATCTTTGTCTATATAATTTCATCTACCCTCTTCAATATTGCTGCTGGAGTCCCCTCACTAGCAGGCAGACTTCTAGGGATCACTAGCAGCATTCATATTGTGCATTGATCAGAAGAAGCTTCTTTTTCATCTGTGCAGTAGCAAATCATGAGAATACTTGCTGCTCCCTTATTCCAGCTCTCTACTGTTTCTTCAAGCTCTTCCTGTACATTTCTGATTATACAGAGTCAAAATTGTTTACAGAAGTTGCTAGCCCACAGCTAAAGTTTTCTGAACAGAGAAAATAGCCTCTTATTCTTAGTCATGGTCTTTGGTTCCTGGAAACAGTTTTATATACCAGAGCACTGATTGCTAACTCTAAAGTTGACATCAGAGAAGAAAATCATATTTGGATTAAGAAAGGGGATCTTGTCCTTTCAGCAAGAGTAAATCTATAGTACAAATGAACTTGAAAAGCTATATAATGACTACATGACATGTTCTAAATTAACATTACAAGCAAGGAGCAATTTTAGAGATCAGAGGAAATAGATATGATGATATATTGGATTGGTATGGAGCTTCAAAGTGTATCTGGGAACAGAGCTAGACACAGATAGGCAGAGAAGAGAGACAACACAGTGCTCATTGAGCAAGACCATGGTAGAAGCAAAAGAAGAGTAATGCAATCAGCTTAGAAAATGAATTATCAGCTGATAAATATGAATTTAGTAAAATGAGAAAATAATACTAGAAAGGAAGTTGATTGGAAGATTTTGGTTACTGAATTCTTCAGACTTTAATTTCAAATCAATTGGCATTAAGACTAAGATGAAATTTTAGAAAATGAATCTCAAATAGCATGAAAGTTGAATGGAGGACTGAGATAATTTGTTGGAAGTAAGAGAAAAATTGAAAGTAATTGGAAAAGAAAACTGGGTGGTAAATTAAAACACTAAATTTGCTACATGCCAACTGGTCTTCATATATATTTGCTTTCCTTTTCTGGGCAGTCATTATTCAGAAGATCTCTGTATATTTGACACAGACTCCAATCATTACGTTACTTCATCGGCTTGTATGTTTTTGGCCAAGAAGTGTTTAAATAGTCAGCATCTCCATTTTCTCCATATTGGTTCCTGCCAAGAAAGTGAACTGTTAGAATGGGGTCTTGAAAGGACAAAACTTGCATCCAATAGCACAAAGAAAGAATCCTGTGGCTATGATACCTGCTATGACTGGGAAAAATGTTCAGGTAAGCCACGGTGTTGACCATATGCTAAAAATGCTCTCACTCAAAATTTATCTCATATAGTATGGTGTTTCTTCTCCACATTTATTCTTCATCTTTATTAAAGTAATCTTTCCTTTAAATTTTTTTCTTTTATTTCTTAAACAACATTTAAGTGATTTAAACAGAAAAGAGAGACTCTAACTACCTACAATTAGGACTAATCACCTTAATATAGCGATTATCTTTCTAATTCTTTTCTGTGCACATGTCATCAGTGTTACCTTAGGCCCAAGCAGGAAGAGCATGTGTCCTGATTTCATGCTGCAGGCACTCCTTCTCACAGCCAGCTTTAGAGGACTTCTTTAGTACTGTCATTTTGTCCTCTGGAGATTGATTGGTTGGATCAACAATACTGTCCAGGTGGGGATGAGTTTAACAAGGATATGATTATAAGAAGTACCTTCCTGCAATTTCCTTAAGACCTCTTCCAATGCCTGGAACCAGCCAGGGCTGGAAGAGCTGTTCAAGAAAATGCCCTGATCCCCAATACCCCAAAAAAGAAAAAAAGAGAAGAAAGAAAAGAAATGCTCTGGGCCCTATTTTTCTCCCTGTAGAATATTCTCCAGACCTCTGCAGCTTCCCTTCACCACCATGCATAGAGTCAACCAGAGGCAATTGGCACTACATCTATGAATTGCCCAGAAGCAGGAACTCAAGCGGTACATTTGCTTTGAGATGAAGCCTGACCCTGAAATACTCAAAACTGAGCTTCATGTAACAGACAATAATGGCTGCAGATTAGGATTTTAGAGAACTGAAACATACAAGTAGATTTCCCTCGAGACACATTTTCAAAACTCTATCTTAAATCTGAGCATAGAATATATATAATGGAAACTTGTCGAATTGTTACAGCTAACTTTGATAAAACCACCTTGCATTTGCAACAACACCAACAAAAGATTAAAAACATACTGTTCCCCTTTGCTCTTCTTCCGCTTTCTATCCCGGAGTTCTTCAGCTCAGTCCCAGGGAGAAGAAAGGTCTTGTTACGCAAAGCTAGGTATTTCCCGATCTGTTTAAGGCTGATTATCAAGATTCAGCTTTTCTGACCCATGACAGAGGGTAGACATGGTGGCACAATGAGTGAGCCATCTGATGGCAGTAATTCAAGAGGTGAATATCTGGGCTACTGACCTTCATGCCGCATTTGATCAGTGAGATTCATCACAAGACCACATACCGGGCATGAGGCACAGTGCTCATTTCTAATCACAATGAAATCATCCTATTGATAAAGACACTACTGCTCATTTTTGGATGCTTGGTCAAACCCTATGAGTCAATGGAAAGCTCCCTCAGATACAATAACTTGGGTAGAAAAGGGCTGATTTATTATGCAGTATATTTTTTCATTTTTAAATATAACACTTTTTGAGAAATTAGTATAAGAATATTATATCAAAAATACAAATAGAAAATAAAAAGAACTTGGACAACAGGTAGGATAAAAAATTGTTTAAAGTCAGCTTTCTTTCTTCCTTGTCAGGAGGAAAGAAATTCAAGAAACTCTTGAAAAAATTATAAAAAGGAATTTTATAATTCTGCTATTTTCCCACAAGCTATTCTTTTTCTTTAATTTTTTTCCACAAGCTATTCTTTTCATATGTGTTACTACAAAATAATTGGTGGCAAACAATTTCATCATAATATCTCCTTTTCTAATACCCCTTTGTTATACATGCATCTTAATTGCCCACAGACTCTAGGAATTTAAATTTGTCAAAAAAGATGCTAAAATATTTAGATGCTTAACCAATTTTGTTCAAATTAGAAGAATATTTTGGGATCACCAAACCAACACATGAATGTTTCTTATTAAGAGATTTATTTCAGTAGTTTAAAGTGTTTTAAACCCTGCACATAGAAAACTCAGAGATGTGATCTGTTTCTCTCAGCATTCTTCAACTGGGGAGCAAGTCAGTGTCACAGAAAATGCTGTTTGGAGGACCACTAGAGAATAGCATCATTGTATAAACTAATACATTTATGAAGACAGAGAAAACTAGCACTGTATTTTATACCAAACCCACTCCTGGCAAGTTGGGATAGTAGAGATTTTCATTTTAACTGAATGTCACCTTGATTAAACTGTTCTTGATTACATTGTGCTCTTTGTTACTCTTTTCATTCACTCTTTAAAATGAAATAAGGAAAAGTTTGAAGTACAGCTTCAAAACAACACAAAGTTCCCTTTTCAAAAGTTAGAACAGGAATGCCTTCCCCAGAGAGTCAAGCAACAGAAAGGTGAAATTCATTCAGCAAAATCCATTTAGCATCCAATATGTGGAAATTGCTGTACAAGGAAGGCATGGTACAAAGAACCCTTTGTACACTTCAAATTGTTCATGGTAGTCAGTGGAGTAACATTACACAGTAATTGCATGAATCACTTTAATATGAAACGGTGTGTGATAAGAGCTGTACTAGAGATAATTACTCTCTCAACTGGAAAGTTTTCATAAGCATGAAATGTGAACACTGAATGTTGAACATTAGTCAGTGGTAGTGGTGGGAAGGGCCTTTTGGTGCTTGTAGTCTACAAATTGGGCTAAGAGCATTTAAGCTACAATCATACTAAGAGAGTTCCTACTGTGCCTTTCCAAAAGCCTGGGAATTGATTTCCTCACCAAAAAATGGAACAGTTCCGGGTATTCTTACAACTCCAACCCTTCCAAGAATGGTCAAGTCTTTTCACAGATAGAATCTTCTCTAGAGAAAAGATAGGAAGAAAATGCATGCTTTTCATCAAATGTTTCCTAGTAGGGGCAAGATGTCTATGCATGTGGTACATATGAGTATCTCCCTAACTTTTTCTATTTTGTTCCATAAGGTGAAAAACATGGAAAAGAATTAGAAAAAGGCATTAATGACATCATCAGTGACACTCAGGCTGATGCCAGTAATTTGGTTATATTGATGATCCCACATCCATGAAATACTTTATATGCTTATATCTGTACCAGAATTCAAAACTTTTAATCAACCAATCCAGAGTAATTAAAATGTACAGCTGAATAGGTCATAGTGATGGATGAACATTAATGTTCTCAAACAAAGCACTTATAATTTTCTTAGAGAAAAGATATGTGTAAGTAGAAAGCATAAAATTATCGGATATGATACTGAAAAATTATACTATTAAACTGAGTTAAAGAAAAGATCATGAGAGTTAAGTGGTTATGAAATGTTTCATGAAGGAAAGAGTTGTAGAGAATTGATATGGGGAGAGGTGTTAAAAATAACATGTTAGTCTGGCAGAAGAAAGGAAAGAAACAGTAAAAGCACAAAAGCATTAACAACTTTGGAATCTTGTTTGGAAAACTGAGAGGGGGTTGATCTACATGGAGTGGAGAAAGCAAAAAATTGTTTTAAATAATGTTAGAAAAAGAAGTTGAGGTTAAAGTGTGGAGGACCTTAAACTTTGACTAAAGCATACCCATATATTAATGAATATTTCTCTAACATAATTTATATAGAATGTGTGATCTCGGTCACCTTACCTCACTCAAAATGATTATTTTAAAGATATTTCATAAATACAAATTATATGAATTATGAAGTGATTAGGGGATCCCAAAACGAAGTCTCATAAGAGAATCACCTGGTTGAACAACAGCTGCCTAAAAATACAGATCTCCAAGTATAACCTAGGAATATTCTAGAAAGAAATAAACAAATGTGGGCAGATTGCTTAACCTCTCTGAGCTGTTTTATCATCTGTAGTATTAGAACAATAGTTTAATTAATATTGTTTGCTGGGTGGATTTAATGAAATAAGGAATATTAAGTATTTGGCATATTGTGTAATTTTCTAGTTCATGTCCTATAAATAATAACTACAGTGTACTTAGGCAGTACAAGAAAAAAATAATAAAACAGAAAAGACAGACTGAAGACTGTGGAAATGGATTAACAGCACTAGTGACTATGGGCAGGGAGAGGGGAAGGTGTCAGAGGCAGCTCAGCTCTGAGATCCTACCAGCTTAGGATGCACTCTGCTGTCTTGTATTCAGGTCGCTCCTATTAATCACAATCATGCCTTTTGGGTCATTGCCTTTGATTCAACTTTCTTATTCACTGTCACCCAGGAGCTCGCCCCTGTGGGGATGGGTTAAGTAAAGCCAAGCCCTGCAGTACTGTGATGCTGCGCTGTCTCTATGTCTCCTTGCAGCCTCCACTTCCAGCTGTATCTGCCTGTTGCCCCCTCAGTGCATCAAAGGTGGAAACCAACTCTACTGTGTCAAAATGGGGTCATCAGCACGCAAGAAAACAGCGAACATCTGTGAAGTGGGAGCTGTGAGATGTGCAAAAAGAAAAGTGGAAATACTGCATGCCGGGAGGTGCCTGGCCTAGCACAATTACTGAAGAACAGACTCACTATCCAGAAGAAACCCCTACAGAAGGACGTTTTTGTGCAGGGAGTATGCTAGCTTGGCCAGAAACTACTAACATTTTTTTGATGTTGGTTTCACACCATTATTCTCTCCCTAACTCTTCCTGATCCAGCATCCCCTATCAAGTCCCAGTCCATGTCACCCCATAATATGCCCCCCTGTGACAACTCTCATGTGAGTCTAGTAAATATTCTTAATCACATTTCATGAAAATAAGGAGAATTTAAAGGCCTTATAAAGCATGTGGTATTAAGCATTCTCACAATAAAAAATGAGTAAAAACCATAATTTTCTTCAATGAATTAGTGAAGAAATCTACAGTACCTATAAAACATATTCTGGAAAACTAACCATCATATATTCATTCAACAAATAATTTCTAAATATATACAATTTGCTGAGCACTGTTAACGGTCCTAAAAAAAACAGGCAAAAGCCCTTACCTTCATAAAGTTCATATTCACATGGGGCTAGACATACAAAAAATAACTGAAAAGTATGTAATATGCTTGATGTTGATCATTACTATGGAAAAAATATAGCAGGGAAGGGTGAATCCCATCCTTAAACATCATCTTATGCAAAAAGATATTCCATAGTAATAAACATCACAAAGCATGATTGAGTCCAAGTGGGAAACACCTTATTTACAGTAGTTAAAGCTAAACTTCTTTTCTGAGTTTTTTTCATTTCCCTTTTTTCTTTCCCCTTTCCTCCTCCCTAGTACCTTTTCCTTTTAAAGAACTTCTTCCTATTTCACAATATCTGTTATAAAATCAGAAAAGAAGGAAAAAAATGGAAGTAAACTTTTGTAGATAAAGAGGGGAAGTAAGGTAGAAAGGAGGGGAGGAGAATAAGGTGAAAAAAGGAGTCAAGATATATATGTAGAGTTACAAAAATCTCTATGATGAATGTGATCATTATGTATATCTAAAATGTACCAATAAAATTAATTGAATAAGATAAACTTGTGAAGTTTCATTCTCTGAGGTAAGAGAATAAAGAATCTACCTCAGCTAAAGTATGTCAGAAATTCAATCCAAAGTGAGTGATGCAAAGAAAATTGCCTGAGAATTCTGGAGGAATGATTTTTAAATAAGTAAAATATTTTTATTAAGCCATAAAGTAGACAGCTCTTGCTGGAAGAAACCAGCATGCCACTTTGGATTGGAGCAGAGAAGCATCACTAAAATAGTGACTGTCAAACACGGGGAAGCATCAGAATCACCCAGCTGGTCCATTACTTCAGGTGTCTGGAACCAGCCCCCAGTTTCTAATTCAGTTGGTCAGCAGTGGCGGCCAAAGAAATTTGTATTTCTAACTTTCCAGGTAGTATTATCGATGGCCATCAGGGGATCACACTATAAGAACACCTAGTTTAGAAATCAGTAATCATCCAGCTGACCCTCATTTAGTAATTAATCTCAAAACCTTAGCCTGCTGATCTGCAACCAGGTGACTAAAGCCCACTTTTCTTTCTTCAGTCTACTTGGATTGCCTTGTGCCAGGAGTCACTGCTACCTGCAAAGATCTCACCAATAGGCCTTCACATTAAATTCAGCCCTTCCTACATCTCGTTAATCATAAAACGTTGGCAAAATCTAAAACATCTTGAAATACCAAAGGCAAAGAATGAGGAAGGAAAATTGAAAACAAAGAACATAGCTTCTCAGTGCATTAACTAAGTGTAACAGTACACCCCAGAATTTGGTAACCTAGCTTTTTCACAGTCATGCCCCTTATCCCATCTCCGTATGAGAGAGGAGCCAACCGCTCTTTTTAGCATCCTGCCTTTGACATAGCCAAAACAACTGAGGGGGAAAAAGCCATTAAATATTCCCACATCCTAAGGAAAGTCACTGACACGTTAGGAAACTTTCTTCAAAACTGAATCGGCTGTCCTCTCCCCAACTCTCATGCCAGCTCCTCAGCTTCATAGGCAATGTTACAAGACTCAGTAGGGGAAGGAAGAGAGCCCTGGAAAATCTGCAGCTTCGTGCATGCCATGTTTATAATGGGTGTCCTATTCTTCCCCTAAGTCCTTTTCTTGCTCTTGGTGAGAAGAAAGAAGACGTTGAACCCCAGCTGTATGCTCTGGTCACATAATATGGCTGCGGTCAGCCTTTTTGCCTTGGCTTTCTATTTGCTAGTGAGTCAGCATATGTTATATAGCCGGCACAGGCACAGTAAATATGTAAACATGCATTCTGTGCTATATGATTTTGGTAACTTAGTGACTTTGCGTTATATCATCAATAAGAGAGTAAAAGGCCAGGGATTTACTCAGTGGTGCCGATGCCTGCCTTACAAGCACTAGGTCCTGAGTTCAATCCCCGGTACCAAAAAAAAAAACAAAATAAGGGAGTAAAACTTTGCAGCATTGAGATAGTTAAAGCATGTCAGACATTCCCAGAGCTCCACGACTTTTCTTTGAGCTGCCTGCATCTCTAGTGAAACTTCCCAGCCCGGATCAATAGCAGAACACCTGCAGACATTTGTGGGTTGTGGAATCATGTATAATAAGAATATGCAGTGCACTTGGCCTGCTGAGTGCTGTGAAATCTTAGGGCTTCTGTAGATTAGGTTTCTGGAGGCGTTGATCCTTCTCTGAGCTGAGCCCACTTCCTTGCTTATGCTTACAAGAAGCTTACAAGAGCAGTCTAACCCACTCTCATGGTGAGAAAAAAAAAGTGAGGTGGCATGTCTGGGAAAGATGACTATAGCCCCCTCTCCACCTGAATAAAGGTACAGGGATAAGTGGAGAAATTGGTAACTCCTGTGCCTCCACATGAAGGCACACACAGAAGAGGAAAGGCTGGCATTGCCCACAGCCAAGGAAGGAGGTGAAATGAAAATCAATTGTGAGGTTGGACAATAAAAATTGAGCCAACAATTTAAAAATACAAACTAACCAAAAATCAGTGTGATCTGCCCCAGGCTTAATCAAGGAGAGAGGAAAGAGAATATGGAAGAACATAGTGAAAGCAGGGGATAATGCAACAAAGTGCTACAACTGAGTGGTTTAAAATCACAAACTATTGTCTCAGTTCTGGACTCTAGAACTGTGAAATTAAGATGCCATCAGAACCTCATTCCTCTGAAACTTGCAGGAGAGAATCTTTCCTTGCTTCTTCCAGACTCTAATAGTTTCCAGCAATCTGTGGCATTTTCCTTCTAAATTCATCACATTGTCTTCTGGCTGCATCATCACATAGCTCACTTTACCTTTCTTCCATGAGTGCCTGCCCAAACTTCATTGTTTTACAGAGACACTAATCAGGTTGAGTCAGGCCCAGCCTAAGACATTGTCTAAACTTGATTACATCAAGCTATTTTCTATTAAGTTTAACGGTACATTTTAGGTATATAGTATAGTTACATTCATCATTAGGATCTTGTACCTTTACATGTTGTATCTTGGTTCTTATTTTTTTCCTATACCCCTGCCCCACTTCACCACCTCTATTGTTTCCTATTTACAAGACTTTGTTTCCATTTTATTCCCTTTCTCATACTTTTTCTTTTCCCTTCTTTCGTTCCCCCTACCCTTCCAACTTCCCCTACTCCTTTAGCCCCTTTCTTCCTATTTAACATTATCAATTATACAATTTGATCCTCATTTATACTTTTAGTTTTTCACACCAGAGAAAGTATTTTACATGTGTGTCCTATTTATTTCACTTAGTTGTATGGCCTCAATATGCATTCATTTACCTATAAATTACTCTAGCCTCTCATTCTTTATTGCTGAGTAGTACTCCATGTTATAGAAAACCCACATCTTCTTTATCCAGTCTCCAGTTGATGGGCAATTGGGCTATTTCCAAGTTTTAGCTATTACAAACTATGCCTCTATAATCATGGGTGCACATATATCACTGTGGTATGATTCTTTTAGTGCTTTTGAGAAGTTGCCCAGCAGAAGGACATCTGGGTCAAATGGAAACTCTAATCCTAGTTTTTGAAGTATCTCCATTCTGATTTCCACAGTGGCTGAACCACTGTGCACTCCCACGAACAACAGAGAAGTGTTCCTTTCTCCCACAGCCCTGAAAGCACTTATTATTGAAAGACCCTATTTTTAAATATGGTCCCCTTCACACATACCTGGAATTAGGACTTCAACATGTCTTTTTGTCAGACACAAGTCAGACACAACATAGATTAAAAACAGACATTTCTGGTTTACATCACATGGTATAAACAAAGATTTATACCAGCAATTATATTTATATGCTGTATTAAAATCAGTCACAGTTGCTCTAAAGTATTTAATATTTTACTTGTAGTAATCTTCCTTTTTAGTGGTGACTACTTGGTCTTTTATCATTTCAGTTACCTTTGTTTCAAAGCATTCTTTGAATGCACTAATCCATAAAAATTTGGATTAGGCTAATTTGCATACCATTACCAATTGAATTTTTCACACTGATACTAATATAGCAATTTAGTACAATACATGTTAAGAGCTAGTGGTAAAATCATTATGAAGCAGAAAGAAAAACTGGAATATATTAAATGCCTGGAATTTGGACCTAGAGTACTCAACTCTGTCCTAGAAGATTAAATTCTAGATCAAAGGTAAAATCTTTATTCTTTTGAGCTATTAGATGTGAATGTTAAACATTCATGCTTATAGTTTAAGTAACAAAATCAATTCAGGTCTTTTTATATAGATTTTAAATTTTTTTATTTTACAATATATTTATAAAATAATGAGGCCCTCCCTTCAACAAACTTTCTGAGTAAATGTGTTATATATTGCAAAAATCTTGAAAACACAGATACAAGCTCTTCCGCTGGGAGCCGCCATCACTCCAGTGCCAGGAAGGTAGATGTGTGGGCACCCCTCAACCCTCAGAACTCCCCTAAACAACCCCTGAGCACTCTCAGACCTCCTGAGTGTGCCAGTCTTTGGACCCACTCTGCAGAGACAGAGGTGGCCATAAAGTGTATTTTTCTGAGTTCCCAACTTTGAACATCTTTAAAGAAAGGGTGGGGGAAAACTGTAGTAGAACAGTGTGGAGTTCAAACATTTAGAAGGTTGGGGAACTCAATCTGGGCCTAACAGCCTTAGGTCAGTCTGCGTCATGGGGTTCAGCCATCAGCTAACTGAGATCAGGGGTCTTCTGTCCTAGTTGTGTGTGAGCCCCCATCCTAAATGGTAAATATACTATACTGAAAAGTTTGTTCACTGCAGACATGTTTTGGACTTCTTCTTGATTTCAATTTAATTCAAATGGTTTAAGGGTGATAGACTAGTGACTACTACAGGTGGTCAA